ACATTAATTCTTATCATTATACTTCTTTATCATAATCTATGGTATTTGTTAAACCAGCTGATTTTCATGGCTTAGCACCGTGAATTTTAGGAGCTCCAACATTTGAAATTCTTCGAGTAGGCATTTCAACAGGCTGAAATGGATTTTTTCTCTGTAATTTTACGGTCATATAGAAAAAAAATATCATTTCCTTCTGTTGAATAAGTTTGAAGAATCTCCTCAAATGCAGCATTAGTTGAGCTACTATATATAGTACGATTCTTTTGCTCCTTTGGCATCACCCGCTCCTTATTACGAAAATATTGTACAAGTTCATTTTTGACAATATCCAATATAGTTTTATTATCCTCGATGTCATTAAATAAACGAGCTGCATGAACGTGTTTGCATACATCTCAAAAGAGTCCATTCCATATGAAATCAAAACATGTACACTTCCCGTAAGAATGTTGACAAGATAGTAATTTTCTTGTTGCGCAACAGGATGTTTAGATACAAATTGATTTATTATTGGCTAAAGTAATTGGTATAATTTTCTTCCAATACCAATTTTTCTCATAGTATATGGTGACCGAAACCCGTCACTCCTTTTTTTTACATAAAAATATGTATCTGACTTTTCAAATGCAGGTTTAACTGAATGAAGTAAAACATATAAACGTCCCTGATTTAAGCGTCTTTTCATATCTATTGGTTGCTTAAATTGTAATGTCTGATGTTTTATAATTCGAGAATTCCAATATATTACCTGATCAGCCTCAAATACTAATTGCGAAGATGTTTCTTTAATAATATTGTCACATGTTAAAGTAATATCATATAACCTCTCAACAAAGCGATTAATCAGCTGAGTACCTATACGTCGACCCTCAATAGACTTATTCATTCGTTCTGTGAGATTATTAGTTGTCATAGGTTTAACACCTGGTGTATTATTTAAAGATAGCATCCGACTGCTATCAATAAAACAATTAATCTATTCCTCAGACAGCCAGTTTGAAAATAAATCATTACACAAAAATTCTTTTGCAATTTTTGTAAGTGGTAGAGATTTAATAAAAGATTGATAAGCCTTACCAAGCTTTAAGGCTTCTTCTTTACTTTGACTCTGACCTACTAGTTTAAAGGCGATAGCAATTGGGTATCGGTAATATTCATCAATTCTCAAATTTTTAAAGTGTTCAGTAAATGTCTGCATTATGTGAAACCAACATAAAATTACACCACGCAGTATAGATTGAAGTCCTCGCTTTGTTGGTCGATGCTTATCAATCATTGCAAATGGTCGCCATGGTTGTACGCATCGACAGATTTCATAAATCCTTTACCATTTGGTAATCCTATATAATCATACTCATGCATGCAATCGATCTTGTTACACAGAATATTTCGTTAAACAGCTTCATAGCAAGTCAAATAGTATGGTTGTTTTCCTTGTTCGAAAGTCTAAATGCAATTGGAGTTCTATAGCCCGCATTGTCCTCAACAACTAGAGATAAAATTGGTGCTCCGTCACTATTTAAATCATACTTGCCATCAATTCCAAAGCAGAAAGAACCAAAGTCATATACCTGTTGAAGCCATAAGTTGTCACTCAAGGTAAGCTGATAATAATGTTGTGAATTGTCTTCAGGCACAGATATATCT